CAGTTTGTGAAGCTTCTATAATTGCAACATTGTTGCAGCCGGAGCTCAGAGCTGGGCTACTGCAGGCTGGGAACCTTGGCTTCCTCCATCACTGGAGCAAGCAATCTTCCTGTTCGCTTCAGCTGCCTGGGTGCCAGCCACCATCTTGGTTGGCAGTTAATTTGCATATCGCCCTGATTAGCCAATGGGAAGCGTGTCAGAGGTACAGTCAAATACCATGTTTGTCTATTATTAGATAGGATAGGCTGTAAACTGTCTTTAAAAATATTTCACTAACGTGTCACAAATAGGTATTAATATACACCTAAGAATATTTTATGTCTTGAAGCAAAGCATTGCTTAGAATACTACCCTGCCATAAAAAAAGATAAAATATTTCCATTTGCAACAACATAAGATGTATCCTGAGGGTATTATGCTAAGTGTGATAACTCAGGCCAAGAAAAGGGACAAAAACATAATTTTACTTATATGTGGAATATAAAACAAAAAAGTAACAAATAGCCTGGCTGGTATTGCTCAGTGGTTGCGTGTTGACCTATGAACCAGGAGGTCATGGTTCCATTCCAGGTCAGGGCATATGCCCAGGTTGTGGGTTTGATCACCAGTGTCGGGTATGCAGGAGGTAGCTGATCAATGATTCTCTTTTATAATTGATGTTTCTCTCTCCTTCTCCCTTCCTCTCTGAAATCATTAAAAATATAGATTAAAAAAGATAACCAATAAACAAAACAAATTCATAGATATCACAGAATGGTGGTTACTAGAAAGGAAAGGATGTGGTGAGAGGGCGAAATAGGAAAGGGGGTAAAATGCATGGTAATGGATGGAAAGTAGACTTTTGGTGGTGAGCACAAAATAGAGTATACTGATATCTATACTAAAAAAAGGGTAATATGCTAATTAGACCAGGTTGACCAGACATATTCCAGTCGTCTGGTCCTCCTTCCAGAAAAAGCCATGGTGGCAGGGTCTGAGGCAGAGGCAGTTAGGGGTGACCAGGCCAGCAGGGGAGGGAGGTTAGGAGTGATCAGGCTGGCAGGTAGAGGGGTTAGGGGTGATCAGGCAGGCAGGCAGGTGAGTGGTTAGGAGCCAGCAGTCCCGGATTGCAAGAGGGGTGTCCCAGATTGGAGAGGGTGCAGGATGGGCTGAGGGACCAACCCTCCAAGCACGAATTTCATGCACCAGGCCTCTAGTCATATTGTATACCTGGAATTTATATAATGTTATTAACCAATTTATATCTATATTAATAAAAGGGTAATATGCTAATTAGAACTGGAGACCTTCTGGACATCCTTCCAGTCAAAGCCATGGTGGCAGGGCCAAGGCAAAGGTGGTTAGAGGTGATCAGGTCAGAAGGGGTGGGCAGTTGTGGGCAAACAGGCCAGCAGAGGGGTGGCAGTTGGAAGCAAGCAGGCTAGTGAGGGGGGGGGGTATGGAAGTTGGGGGCAAGAAGGCTAGCATGCAGAGTGGTTAGGGGCGATCAGGCAGGCAGGCAGATGAGCAGTTAGGAGCCAGTGGTCCTGGATTGCGAGAAGAATGTACGACTATCAGTTTAGGCCCTATCCCTGTGGGGTCCCAGATTGGAGCAGGTGCAGGCTGTGCTGAGGGGCACCCCACTGCCCTGTGCACGAATTTTGTGCACTGAGCCACTAGTCTATACTAATAAAAGGGTAATATGCAAATTGGTCCCTACATCCTCACAGTCACGACCAGATATCCTAATTAGTCATGACTAGTATGCAAACTGACCATCACTCCAACACAATAAGAGAGGCATATGCTAATTAGCTCTGATATGCTAAGCAGTCACGACCAGTATGCAAATTGACCATCACTCCAACACACAAGATGGCCGCCCCCATGTGGCCATAAGATGGCTGCCACAGCCCTAACTGGTTTGGCTCAGTGGATAGAGTGACGGCCTGCAGACTGAAGGGTCCAAGGTTCTATTCCAGTCAAGAGCATGTACCTTGGTTGCAGGCACATCCCCATTACGGGGTGTGCAGGAGGCAGCTGATCGATGTGTCTCTCTCATTGATGTTTCTATCCCTAGGATAGATATCAGTTTCTATCCTTATGAAACATCTCATTGATGTTTCAGGATCAAACCCACAATCCCTCTCCCACTCTCTATCCCTCGCCCTTTCTCTCTCTAAAAAATCAATAAAATATAGTTTTTAAAAAAATATGGCTGCCACAAGATGGCCTGCAGGGGAGGGCAGTTGTGGGTGACCAGGCCAGCAGGATAGGGCAGTAGGGGGTTACTGGGCCAGCAGGGGAGGGCAGTTGGAGGCAATCAGGCCAGCAAGGGAATAGTTAGGCATCAATTAGGCTGGCAGGGTGATCAGGCTGGCAGACAGAAGCGGTTAGGGGCAATCAGGCAGGCTGGCAGTCGAGCGATTGGGACCCAGAAGTCCTGAATTGTGAGAGGGATGTCCAACTAAACGGGCAGTCAGACATCCCTTGAGGGGTTCCAGACTAAAGAGTGTGCAGGCTGGGCTGAGGGACACCCCCCCTTTCAATGCACAAATTTTGTGCACCGGGCTTCTAGTCCTATCTAATAAAAGAGAAACATGGTAATTGGCATATGACCGCTACCCTTCCTATTGGCTAATCAGGGTGATGTGCAAATTAACTGCCAGCCAAGATGGCGGCCGGCAGCCAGGTAGCTTGAAGCGAGCATGAGGTTTGCTTGCTTCAGTGACAGAGGACTACAACGTTCCCCGCCTACCAATGCCGGCCTCTGAGCTTACAGTTTGAAACATTGTTACAAATATAGAAGCTAAACAAACCCCCAGAAACCTGCTTTCAGCCAGCGGGATCTCAGAGCTGGATTTGAAACAGTGTTTCGATTATAGAACCCAAACAAACCAGATACCTGCTTTCAGCAGCAGAGGCCTCAGAGCTGGACTCAAGCCTCAGAGCTAAAGCTGGCC